TACATTGGCTCCTGGCTGGCCTGGGCTAGGGCCAAGGCAGCAGGGGCTGTTCCCTCACTGTTTCCAGGATGGCTTCGTGGGCCACATTAAATCACTTCACGGGCCGCATCCGGCCCCCGGGCCTTGTGTTTGACATGTCTGCCCTATGGGAAACTTTTTTTATTATGTAAGCTATAAATATAATCTGCTTTGGTAAAACTTGCTTTACTTTTTATCTAATCTATTTGCATTCCTGAAAATATATTGGGGTATTTTATAAAAGCATCATTTGCAATGCATGCCCCAATTTTAACATTAAAAATATTCATACTAAGAAAGGAGTTGAAATGCTTGCCTATTATGATCCTTAACAATCAGGAATTTCATTTATGCTTGTTTACAAATTAGCCTACATGTCAGCCACACTTTCTTATGCTTTTTCAACTCTAATCTCCTACATCAGAAGATCTAGAATATGCTACTACATAATATATTGCAGTATGTGACACCTAATTGCATATTGCTTTTCCTCTGTTAATTTAGATTATAATACTCGATCTATGAGATATTGTTAAACTCTACTTTCCAGCAGTCCCAGCTAGCATGGAAAATTATAAAGTATTTTGGTTTAGGAAAATGTGGAAGGGTGTAAATTCTCCCGACCTGAATTAGAAGGAATGAGAGGCTCATAACAGCAATGCCTTTTCTGTTGAGGTGCTTGCCTTTGGAGTAATGTCTTCTCCGAAGTTTGGTTGACCCCAATTCTTTTAGTCTTCAGGAAGACTCTAAAAACTTGGTTTTACCTTTACTTTGAAGGTCTATCCTTACCTATTTGGTGTAGTGATAAAAGCACCAGGCTAAAAAACTGAAACTGTGAGTTCTAGTCCTGCCTTTACCATGAAAGACAGCTGGATGATCCTGGGCCAGTCATACTCTCTCAGCCCAACTCACCTTACAGGATTGTTGTTGTACAGAAAATAGGTGAAGATGTTTGTTATGCTTGTCACCTTGAATTATTTATAAGATAATATACAAACAAGCAAACAAGCTTTGGGCCAGGACGATAAGTTTTTTGAGAGATAGGGTAGGGCTTTTTTTCTCATAGAACGCCTAGAACAGAGTTCTGGCACCTTTTTTGGATGGAACCTTGTAGGATAGGCAAGGCGGATTGTATGACGTGTGTGAGTTCCGGCACTTTTTTTTTTTTAAAGAAAAAAAGCACTGAGATAGGGTATAGATTTGGTGCAGTCCCAGAGTATATTATTGTTACATTTATTTTGGCCTTGTTCTGTTTGGTTTTAAATGTATTGTATCTTTCCTTTGTTTATATTAATATATACTACCTGTGGATGCATAACTGGTAACTAGTTATTTTATTATGTGCAATGTAAAAGGCAAGTCTTTTAACATTCGTCTGAGTAAATCTGAAGATGGCTAACCTTTTGTAACAAATTAACTGTGTTTAAGATGCCTTATGTGAATCTTTCAGGATGTATAAAACCAAGCAAATCTATTGACAGCTAAACCTGAGTGCTATTTTGTTAGTTGATCAAACATGGACAAGATTGCACTATGGTGTTCAAAACAATAATTCAACTGTAATTCAATTGTAATTTAATTACAATTTTAATTAAAATTTATAGGAAAGAGTAGACATTATTATATTTATAATATTGTGCAGTCTTAGATAACATTGTTTGAAGTATGCAAAAATAATTTAGAATTTAGACTTTCACCGTACACGTTATAACTAAAGTTTGATACATAATTAGCTTAAAATCCAGCATTTCAATGTTTTTGCACACACACATATACACATACTTGCCTCTTTTCTCTTAAGAATCTTGTTACAAATAAAGCCATACATTAGACATGTATAAGAAAATGAAAATAGTACTAGGTAAACAAAAGTTCTACTACCAAAGAACTTCTTCCGAACCTATGACTCATGTCTGCTATCTTTTTTTTCCCTGAGACTTTACAAAACTTATGCTAGGATAGGCTCATCAACAGAACTTCCCTTAAGAAATGATTTCTTAACATATTACTTTATTATTTTGCCTATCAATTATTTTCTGAGGGAAAGCATAAGAAGAAAGTGAAAATTTAATTTTTAAATTTTAAAATGTGTTCAAAGTCTTTACTCTAAAAAATGTACAATCTTTGTAGATTGTATAAAACTACACACACACACACACACACACAAATATATATTTTCTAATTCATGCTGACAAAATACCCTGATGTATTTTGGACTATTAATTTTGTACACTGTAATATTAGAAACTGATAATTTCTGATCTACTTTAAAAATAAGAATGTAAAAATGTCTGTGGAGATTCTGAGTCATTCAGGTCATGATTGTCTCAAAGGTGTTTTTTCAAAAGGCAACTGGACTTTTTAAGGATTTCTTTAAAAAAAAAAAAAACATTTCACTTCTCATCCAAGAAACTTCTTCACTTCTGCTTGGATGAGATGCAAAAATTTTTTTAAAGAAAAAGCAAACCAAGAAAATTCAGTTGCCTTTTTGGAAAAGCATCTTTGGGACAACCATGACCTGGGTTACTGAGAATCACCAGAGACTCTTACAGATTAGCAATTTCTTAAATTATCTGAATTCGAACATTCAAAGATTGATAAATAAAAGTAAAATAAAAATGGGGTTGTGTGTTCATATAGGTTATTACTATATAGACAGCAATCTAGAGGATCATAGCATAATTTATATGAGTAAATTTTTTTTAAAAAATGCTGAATAACAAACTGAACTTATTTATTTGAATCTAAAAATTCAGATATAATTGTACAAAAGAAAAAATGGATTAATTTCCAGATAAAATGAGTCAAGTTTCTGGAATATTTTTTTTTTTGACAAAAAACCCTTTTTACATTCTTGTCCCAAATGTGCTTTTTAAAAAGGCAAATAGACTTTCTTTGTTTTTCCTTGAAGACATTTTGCTTCTCATCCAAGTAGAATTGAAGAGGCTTCTTGGATGAGAACTGAAATGTTTTCAGAGAACCCCCCCCCCAAAAAAAAGTCCAGTTGCCTTTTGGAAAAAGCATTTATGAGACTAATCCTTATAGCAAGTAGAGAAAAATACAACAAGCACACAGGAAAAATATATCTAAGAAACTACGGAAACAATTCCCCAACTATCCCACTTAACCTCACCCCATCTCAACAAATGGGGAAGCAGCATATTTATTAGCTATGAAATACCAAACATTGGTTAGAAAATGATTTAGGAAATCTGCAATAAGAAGAATGAAATTCAACAATCCCATAAAATTGGCTAATTGACCTCCTGAATAGGAATACATACACCTGCAGTATTCCTATAATATATGGAACAAGTATTGCTTTACACCAACCTGGTACTTATATTTAACATAGTTTAGTCTTGGCAACTTTAAATCTTTTTATTGTACCTGAGATTTGAAACCTTTCAGGTTTTATAATGTGGCAGCCATGAGATAGTTTTGCTTGCTTATAGTAAACATAAATGAGTGAATTTCTTATGTTAAAGATATGTTTACTGGAACATACCCAGGCAAGTTTTAGAAAATTTAGCAGTTTGTACTTTTAATGGGTTTTAGAAAACAATGAAACATTCATTTCTAACTTGTATGCCATTTGCATCTAATATGATTAAATAAGTTAAGTAGATTCCTAAATTGGATGGTCCAATTACTAATATTAACTTAGAAGTGCTGTACTTCTAAGTACTTCTATTACTTCTGGTAAGTAATGCTCTATTTTATAAACTCATCTCCTAGCTTTATACTTATTTCTACTCTATTCCTATTGTGAGTATAAAGCTATGAGAGGAATATAAAGTGTAGAGCTCTCAAAACCTATCACAAAATACAACTATTTTGTCATAGAAAAATTTCTGAATTGTTTGGTATTGTAAGAGATGGGGGTAAGAAATACTCATTTTGCAAGCTTCCCATTATGTTAGTTCAGAGATTTGAACTCAATATCCTCTGCTTCAACACTATCGTGCAAAAAGCCTAGAACTGAGCTGTGTTTTTAAAAATAAAATAAATACATTTTTATTATACACAAAAATGTCTGAGCATTAATTCAACATGCTCTAGAAAACATCTGGGATTGGGTTTACATGGAGGGCAGCTGAACTAATTTTTAGATGAAATCAAAATATATTTTTGGAGCCAACCTCATATTTTCTGAATGTTGAGAATGGAACAACGTTATGTAATAGAGTATGTTTTAAAAAGTAATGTAAATGTTTTCAAAATTTGGCTCTAAAAGTGTATGCAGGTTTTTTGGAAGCCTGGGTAACTCCTTCAGGTCAATTAAAGAACAGTGGGGTTTTTTTTAGAAGTGTATGAAGAAGTGAAAGTTACTGATTTTTATATTTATAATGGCAGTAGATTCCTAAACTGGATGGTCCAATTAATAATATTAATTATTTATTTTATTTATCTTGTACATTTAAGCATGTTCATGAAACAATTGAGACAATTTTGAGTTAGATTACAAATGTCCTTTATTTACTTCTAAGCTGCCCAAGATTAGTATGCTCAATTGCTTAAGAAATATTTTTTTCAAATCCAAATTTCATGTAATATCTAATTAAAAAGCAGTTTCCTCTATAAATTCTCAAATTATGATAAACATTCTGAATTAATTATAATACATAAATGACATATTACATAGTTAATAAAAAGAAAAAAAAGACAGAAAAGAATTGCAAAATATGTCAATACTGATTTTTAATCAGTTTGTAATATCTGACAGAAGGTGGCGATCTATACTTACTTTGAACAATACATAATGCAATTCTACTTAGAATTCTGTATATGAAAAGAACATAGAAGGAATATGAGCATTAACATGATTTTTACTATTAATGTAATTGCTTTCATATGCTAACAATTAGATACCATCTATTTCCAGTTTAAATACTATATTTCAAGTAGAAAAATAATGCATATTACTGTACAGGAGCAAGTTATATATATATATATGACTTAGATATGATAGGAATACTTACAGGCATCTCTAATATATAGCAACATAGCTAAGAAAATGTAGTCAACCAAATCAAGAGTGATGCTGTCAGCAAATAAAGCATCCCACACAACAAGAAGGTCCTGAAGGAGAAACTCTCGTCCAAATAGAAGCCTTATCCATCTCCTAGAAAGAAATTCCAAGGAACACATCAAAAACTGCTTATCACAGATGAGAAATAATAATTTATAGAGAAATCCAATGCATAATAATTTATTAATAAAGGAGAATATTTTTTAGCTCAGGGTGGACATGAAGGGTCTTTAGCCTGCTTGTTTTCTTGCAGAGGTTTCTTTCCCAAACTAGATAACTAGTGCTGGTAAGGAGTGCTCTTTGCTGATAGCAAAAAACACTCCTTACTAGCACTGATGATGTTACCTAGTTTGGGTAATGAAATGTCTGCAAGAAAACAAGCAAGCTCAGAGAGCACCAAGAACCCCTCATAATAATTTATTAGATACCTAGATGGTACTTAGCTGGATTTACACAATTATAGTTGGAGACACATTGATGATTCATTTTTGAACTTTTGGTATGAAAGTAGTTCTAAGAGTAGATTTCCTCCCCCTCTCCCCAGTATGTAAGCCTATATATGGTTCAGAAAATGTCAAATTCTGCATTAACCTGATTACATAAAGAAGTGTAAATAGTGTTTAAAAGCACTATTTTTGAAATGCTATTAAACTGGTTGTTTGTATGCCAATCAATCTTATATTCCTGATGAGCTCAATTATAAAAAGTTGTTATGGAACTGATCAAATGTTTATGAAGTGTGTCTTCCTTTTAAAAAGTGTCTTAGGAAACTGAACCAAATGCTTTGTTTAATAAGGCATTAATCCAGGTTATTAAGTAGACATTTATATTATCAAGTTATAACCATTGCAAGTGCAATGCAGGTGTAATTTTCAATGGAGTTTTATGCTAATAGCTGATGCAATTAAAACTCAGAAATATAATAAAATTCTTCATATAATTTAAATAAACAAACACAATATATCTCTCAAATGCTACAAATCAGAGCTCCTAAAGGAAGAGGAAACACCGAATCTTTACACAATTTACTGCTAATTATAACACGCAAGATGTGGAAGATTATGTCTTGGTGACTACCATACAGAAATTATTACTTTTTGCTGTTACAAATATTACTCAGGCTGTGAATGAAATCTTTCTCTTTGCACCAAACGTTTATGATTCAGATTGTGAAATTTGTACTAGAAACAGATAAAATTAATACACTAAAAAGAATATTTGTTTCTGTGAGATGGGAAAGGGAAATATATTGTGACGTAGTAGGATTCAATTTTTTAAAAATCAGAAATCCCATTTTCTTTTGTATCATTTTACTATATGGCAGGCATGTCAAACTCGTGACATCACATGACATCGTGCAAAGTATCGGACTGGTTTTGCCTTTGCTGGCAATGGGGTGGGTCCGGCCTCCACATGACGCATCCGGCCTGCAGGCCAGCAGTTTGACACCCCTGCTTTATGGCATTAACTGCGGATACTCAAGTTAGTTTGAGAATATTAAGCATTGGAACGAAGAGTTATTATTTTCATAGAATTAGAGAATTAAAGATTTCTCTGCTTTTGAAATCAGAAGGATATCAGCCTTACAGAACTGACGGATAAATGCAATTTACACAATTGAAAGTTGTTGTATTTTAACTACTATCTGTATCTTTTCAACAACAATGTAGTATCCAATAAACCAAGGACCCCTAAAATCTCTAAATAGCTAGACTACAGCATGCTTTCTCTTCCTATAAAACAAATAGATGCTCTAAAGAATTACGTCTGAGTCAGAATGTTTTTATACAAATTAACACACTTTTAATGTTCTTTCCAATATGTAGATATAATCTAAGTTTCACTTAATGATACCATTGGACAAGAGGAGTCCCTTTCTTTTGAATGGTTGTATAGTTTAATTACAGTTCTGTCCTGTTAATTCTAGCCTCAAATCTGCTACACCTGCAGACTGTAATACTCAAGATAGTGCACCCTTTTATCACATTTCGTAACACAATAATTTGTATTTACCACACCAACACAGAATTGCAAATCAGCCTAAAATACTGAAGGACTTTTTAAAAAACAAAAAAAATCCACTAATAGTTATTACTATTTCCTTACTAAAAGGCATAGTCCTATATTTTACACATGATTTTTGTATAAAACCTTAATATCAAAACAATTTATAATCACTACCTACAAATGGTAGTTTAATAATGACCTTCAAGAGAAATATTAATGTTCTAGAATAACTTTAAAATATTATTTAAAACTTGCAAAAGCAATTATTTTATTAAGGATTACCAGGAATAACTTATGAATGCAGCTGCAAATCAGATATAACTGGATTACTGGTATGACAAATAAATAAAATACAAAAAGTGCTATATACTATCAAACTATGATTTGAGTACCATTGTAACATCTGATGTTTAAATTTTTAGAACAGAAACATAATGAAAAAAATAGTATAAATACATAGTACTATACAAAATAGTTCAAGAATGTGAGACTTCCCTATTGAAAGAGGGGTGAAATTTATAAAGGGCACATATCAATGATCTATTGTTCCTAGTAAAATATGGATTTGTCTTTAGATATTATATAATCCATTAGCCCATTCCCATGTATGAAATATTAAGAATTTCTCTTGTACAATTCATATACTGGTATACTACCCCGATTTTCTTCATTTTTGAAGCAGAAAAATGAAGCATTTTTGATAGTTGCCGAACTCAATGAATATTCTTTTATAATGCAGATTAAAATGTTGAAATAGTATGAAAAATCCAAGCTATTCAATTACTGCTACAAGTTCTAAACTATTTCTCCAACAAGACTATTATCCCACCCTTTTTTAAAGATTAGACTCAAATGTTCTTGTATAATTTCTTATTTCCCAGAGAAAATGAAAGAATTCAGGAATGAATAACTTCTTAAACAGTGTTTTCCAAAAAGTGAACTTTATTATAGTGAAAAGCAAACTATATTAACAATTTACAAACTCAATAAAATCCTTTACTAATTAATACATTCCTATTAAAAATCTTAAGACATCCTCTTTTAAACATGCACTTAGTGATTGTGTAGTTTTGACAATTCTCTAAGGTTGCAAGTTACTACATAATTTTTTCCACACTATAGTACTATACAAAATAGTTCAAGAATATGAGACAATTTCCTATTGAAAGAGGGGTGAAATTTATAAAGGGCACATCAATGATCTATAGTTTATCCCCATTTGACAAATGTACAAAAAAAATTCACACACCTTGGAAATTTTGCAATTTATTTGGATTAATATTATTGTTTCTGTAAAAAATATCATAATATAAAACCATAGTAACATATTCCCCTACTGCACTCTGTTCTCATAACTTTCATTCTTTAGAAAATATGCCGCAGATTGCTTTATCTGAACTAAAAAAAAGTTCCCATATTCAAAATGGCATCTTGAAAATTATTGCTTTTCCTTGAAATTGGTATGACTTCCTTTAGTTTTCTTTCATTATCTTCTTTTAAAAGACTTTTAAAAATAATGTGGTTACTCTTATTATTGTTAAGAGAAGTAGGGTAAATAAATTGAAACAGGGCAAAAATTATATTTTGCTTTATCACCTACTGTTAGTATTGTGGAATCTCTCTTGGTTTCATCATTTTTATTCATGAATATTGAAAGATGTGTTGCTGGAAGAATGCATCAATTCAGACAGGTGTACACATGTATTTATAATTTTAATAGACAATATAACATAACAATGGCAGAAATGCTGCTCAGATCTAATATATACCAACATGAATTTTGCATGTGGGGTTCTGATATTTAGACTACAAGACTATATCTGTCCTTTACACTCCCAACTGAACACACTGTCAAGGATAGAAAAGGATGGAAATAACATCATTCTCTATTCAGAGGGAAACCGCATATGCATTAAACCAAATGCTTGAAAAAGAACTCAGATGTGATTAAAAACAAAAGGAACCACAACTAGTAGAGACAGCTTGATAAAGTGGCAAGAAAGAAAATTGTTTGCATGAATTCATTTCTCTATTTTCTCCCAGGTAAGTGATTGATTTTCATTGTAGTGAAGTAATGTGGTAGGAAAAACTGTTAGCGAGCTGTTTAGTCCCAAAACCAACTGCCAAAATTTCTATGGGTAAAATGATGTTGTTTCTTTTCTTTTTGTAAAAACTTTAAAGTACGTTCTTAGGTTCCAAAGCTTTCTGCCAAGTTTAGCCATTAATAGATATGAAAGAATAGAGGCAAATATTTGATTAAAATATTAACTCCAGTTTTAGAACATATTCTAATGATGCACATTTTTCTGGCTTTATGGTCTGCCAATGGGTTGGAATTAACAGCACCAAGCACCCTTATCCTATTTAGGAATTTTGGAAATTGCACTTTCAGACTAGCTGGACAGCACCAGTTGGGGAGGTCTGCTTTAAGCTTCAAGCAAAGCCTGTTTTCAATTTTGGTAGCTCAGGCCACTTTTTCAGGAAGCCCAAAGAACATTCTGAAGGATATTGTTCTGGAAATTCTCGATCAAAGAAAAACTAACTTTTCAAAAAGCAGAAGCAGAATGGATTTATTGTCACAACAATATTCATGTTATGCCTAAATTGACTTCTGAAACTAAATTAAACTGCCCTTAAAAGGCCATAGACAGCACTCCATTTTTATCCATTAGTTTGGCTAATAATGCCTTCATACATTCATGAATAAAGTCATTATCATCAATCTTCCAGTTATACTGACCAGTTGAATAATTATTTATGCATGTACCCAGGAAATCCTGGGTGGCTTCTTATTGCCTATACAATTGATGAAGGACCCAGTGAACATTCAAAATGTATGGCAATAATGATTTAAGCATTCACCTAAGCAAAAAAAATGCTAAATCAATGCTTTATTTATATCTTTAGTGCAGATGTAGCATATATATTTTGACATTCTTGAGCTATTACAGTACTACAACTAAACTGCTAGGTTGCACTTGGCAGTGTTAAAAATATGCCATGTAACCTTTTTAAATGCTATTTAGTCATTTAAAAAATTTAAAGCAAAGCGGCATATAAGTTTATACATTTTAATGTATGATTTA